TCACAAACCAAAATATCTAAATAATCAACACCAAGAAACCGGAATTACCTCATTGTTGCTGATCTTTCAATAAATTCCGTATAAAATACGAAATATTAGAAAGATTAAAAGTCAACAATCTAAAAAGGACAAACAACAAAAAACAGCGAAAAGAAGAGAAAACGAAAAGGCAAGCTTTTAATTTGTGAATTTTACCACAAAACCCGTTACAATAGATTGTCACAGTTAATTCAGGCGCTCCGGAAAGATAAACAGTCCTGTTTCCATTGTGGTACATGTTCTTAGCGTGTTGCTTATTACAGAAACATAGTATGTCTCTGCTAGTTACAATTAAAATCGCGACAAATGGAAAAAAGAAGCTCTATCTCGCCAGACTTTAAGTTGCTGTGTAGAACGTAAAACACCTCTAAGATATATCTTGCACATATATCACATGCATCTTCAAAAAGATCTTTTATGTTTGTAACATCTATGGATATCTAAAGGAATGGGTTGATAGATTATAAGACTGGTATTATGAGAATATAACCCATTAACTCAAAATATTTGATTACAATTATAGTTCTAATATTTTACAGCCATCTTTTGACAAATCCTCTTTAATCCTATTGCCATTAAACACTGTTTCATTAAAAGGATCCAAAGTCATAAAAAATAATGATGATTAAGCGACCATTGATATCAGCATAAGACAAAGGCTGTCTTTAATTAATTTTAAATATTATATGTTCCTCATATCCGAAAACTACGTTAAATGTATTCTTCGAATATGAGATAAAATGAAGTAATTCGACGGTAAACTCACATTATCTGAACCGTCTATAAAATAAAGGCAGCAAAGTTTCTGTTAGCGATAACTATTTGTTTGCGTTTACCATTTTCCCGAAATAGAGCAAGAAATAGTAAATAAACGCTGGAAAAACGAAAAAAACAAAAAAAAACAGCCAATAGTACCATGATACAAGTACCAGTTTAGTTTCCAGACAAACAGGGACCGAAGAGCAAATACGTATCGACAAAAGCAAATCAACATATGTAACAACAGAATCAGGAATATAAATATCTACCTATCCAGACATATTTGAAGATTTTTGTTTTTCATGCATATTTTAATGTTATCCAACAGAGACTTTCAGTTTTACAGAGCGGTACTGCAATACTGACTTCACGATTCACAATTTTACAACAGAAAATGTTCACCGTGAACGTGCATATTGAACAAACGTGCTCGTATAGTGATTTCAAGCCATATCGAGGTGTCCTGCGGGATATGAAAAAAACCTGTTGAAGAAATATTTCTAAATGACGACTGAGTAGAAAATGGTCCACGTATTGCTTTTGGCAAAAACATGGTTTTTAAGAACAAATACTGTGCTCATTGTAACGATATAAAAGAATATCTTTCTATTGATGTTCAGGTTTACTATGTAAAGATGGCTTCTGAAGAGTATGAACATTTTCAAAATCAAACCAGAAAGTCAAAACTTAGTTTGTTTGTATGAATGCTGATTACCCCCTGTACCACCTCCAAGCCTTAATCTTAGAATATTTGCTTTATCGAAATCAGTCAACCCCTCTGTCAGAAATATATAAATCCAACAGTAGTACTAGCTAAAGGGATTTCCGTTTTTACAGAAAAGAGTTATGTACGCATGTCCACGAAAAAGATAATTTGTTTGGTTGTTTTGCAATCTTATGAAATTGTTTTGGAAAGGGAAATTCACATCCTTCCTGTTATATTCTCACTCAGTTAACCAAATTGAAGGAGAGTAAAACCAAGTGTAAAAAATATTGTATTATCCTTTGGGATTGTTTTTAAAATAATATCATTTAAAGTATTATTTTCTGATAACTTGTCGTTGTATGAGCATTTTTTTTTGGGCATATAAAATAAGGAAATGTGGTATGCTTGCTAATGAGATAAACATTAACCAGAGTCCAACTGACGTGAATTTAAGCAACCATATAGGTCACTTTGAGGTCGTCGACCACGAGTATGACTTATACGGCATAGGCAGCTATAAAAGTTCCGATATGACAAAATATGAAACAATTAAAAAATCCCAACGTGATGAATGAGTATCATATGGTCCGTAATTTATAGATTGAGTTCAACTACAAGTGGCTCCGTACATAATGACGTGAACAAATATATTATAAACGTTTAAAAAAAGTATTAAAAAAATACTCAACTCCAAGGCAAATTCAAAAAGGCGAAGTTCATAAAAACTGACGCTATCAATCAACGGAACAAGTGAAAAAACAACTGACATATTTCTGACTTGGTATAGGCATTTTCCGAAGAAAATTGTGGGTTAAATCTGGTTTTATAACTAGACAAACCTCCCATTTGTATAAAAATAGGACAACGATCATTTGTCTTTGAACGTTGGTTTTAGTAAGTGTGAATCTGTCGTGATAGCACCTGAAAATATAATTTAACACCAATCATTTAAAATACCACATAGGAAGTTGAAAGTAAATGAAAAGTTAAAAATGGCATAAAGGAAAGTTTTATATGAGTACAAAATTTTGTAAACATAGAAAAGACTGTATAGAAAAGTCTAGTACTTTTAAGATATGATTTTTTTTTTTTTTGCTTTTCTGTTTTTTAAAAGTTCGTTTGCTATTAGTAAAGATGGCATATGCATTGTAATATTAGACGTAAGACGGAGATACATTTCTTGATATCATGTATCTATAATATTTCATGTTATCAATATAATTGCGAGATCGATTAAAAATGATGCAAAAAATATCGATTCTAAGGTAGGGTAGGAGTACTCATGTATGTAAGAATACACAGGTTTAAGCCTGGAAAGTAAAATTTAAAGTCATTTATATCCCACGCAGACTTAATAGACTTAATCTTTGATATAGAGAATAGTGCTAAAAGTGGCGTTTAATAAAATCAATCAATCAACAAATCAATTGCAATCATTACAGTAGCTGAAAATCTCTTAAAAATTCTGTCTCCCAAAATACTAATTATATATAAATGTAAATCAAAGTACTGAAGTACTGAACATCGGATGACCGCAAGTTCTTGTGGATTGTCAAAAGCACTTGTCACAGAAAAAAATCACATCTCTATACCTGGAACTGAGGTTAATCTACAGAGATATTTGTTTTTTCTGAGACAAGTTTGTGCGTGGATGATGAATAAATGACAGGAAATTCAACATCACCGTAATAACTATTATATTGTAGTGATACAAATCAGTATACACTGGTTTGTTGTTATATATTATATTAATATAACAGTTACATGTATATATAATTTTCATCCATTTGTATATCATTCTATTCTACTATTCTAATAAGAGTGCAGTGCAAGTGCATGGTGGACACTCTTCTGTAAACATTCGATTTTTCTAAAAGATTGGATATGAGAAGGCATTCATTTTTTTCCACAAAAACAATCTTCCATGCAGAGTTACCGGTCCTTGCCGGTATTGTCGCAAAATATTCTTGAGATATTCTTCCGCATGCTTTACCATATCAATGATTTTTTACTTATATATATATATATCTAACGACAAAACATTTTCATACTATTAATTTATGTTCTAAACAAAAATATTGTTATCAGTATTCATTGAAGAGATGTATTCATAACAAACGATAAGGAATGTTTTTTTGCACTCGTTAATATCCGCGTATTTATCATGTTTATAGATCGGTTACAAACCCAAAATGAAACTTACGTAATGGAAATCTAGGCGATAGCAATACATCGGAATGCCCTCACGGTCATCACGATGTAAAAATATGAACACATTTAACAGTACCTGTCAACCCAATTTTTTTGGGGAGTAAACCCTGAACTCTTACATGTTTTTTTTCTGCCAAAGATATACATGTAGGTATAAGTACTAATATAACATGTATTTAATCTTAATGAATGTGTTTTATTATCTACTTAAGAAAACTAGTGCTGATTTCCCATTGTTGAAAGTCTAGTATGATAGTTCATTTACGATTTGTCCAGACGAAGGGGCGATTTAGAATCATTATTTCTATTGTGTCTTCGGGTTGCTGTCTTCTCTTGGTTAATCCTATATAGCTATATTTTCTGTTTTCCTTGGTATACTTGATTAAGTTTTTTTTTTTAAATCATTAGCTTTGGATATTCTATGTTACTACTTTGTGTCTGCACTAAATTTGGACAAATGTAATACTTAGTAATATGCAACACATTTAGAAAGAAACGGTAGTTATGTTCATAAGACACCCTTTTAACCTTTACTTAAATAAGAATTGTTTTTAATGATACAAACAGCATACCAGAAGAACCTTTTTTTGAATGGCGCCAGCAAACATGTTAAACCCCGCCACATTCTAATGTGCCTGTCGAAAGTCAGGAACCTGTAATTCAGTGGTTGTTGTTTGTTGCTGTATATCAAAAAATATTTTCGTTTATTGTTTTGTACATAAACCAGGCCGTTAGTTTTCTCGTTTGAATTGTTTTACATTTGTCATTTCGGGGCTTTTTATAGCTTTCTATGCGGTATTGGTTTTTGCTCATTGTTGAAAGCTTTACGGTGATCTATAGTTGTTAACTAATACGTCATTTGGTCTCTAATCGAGAATTGTCTCATAGGCAATCATACTCTATCCTCTGAAATTTATATCACCTACATGCCATTGGCTGGACTTCCACAAAGATACAGAAACATTCGATTTTAAGGGGAAATACAAAATTCCAGAGCATAGTAAGGGAAAAAAACAAAGTATACGTACAGTGAAAAAACACATACATACGGCAATACAAACTTCCGTTAAAACAGGCAGTGATGTGTCAGGTGAGAATATTAATTTTGTTACGCCTGCAACATCTGGGTCAAAACTGGTAAATACAACAAGGACATCTTGGGGCTCATTTGGCCTTGTGGATTCACAGAATGAAAAATGTATGACATAGTTAACCCTTTCGTGTGTACAAATTGTCTATTTATTCCCACTTTTTCCACTTGCTCCAAAAAGTGTAACACAAAATATTAAAATCAACTTTTATTGGCCAACAACATAACAATAACATTAATATATTACAACATTGTTTTAGCTTTTATAACTCGTAAGGCTCTTGTTAGGAAAAGCCAGAGAAAACATGCTATAAAGCAGACTATTACTCCACACCAGGCTACGGGAGCTGGCCAAAGCATTGTCACAGTTCTGGCTTCACATGTAGAGGACGGATAAAATCTGATAGTATGACACTCTGATATTTCATAGAAGTTCTTAGTATGAAATATAGCTAGACCGAATATTGTGAATAAACCTGAAAAATAGAAAAAAAAGACAATTAATATCACTCTGAATTATGGGAAAATGTTGCATCAGTGCCATTTATAGACAAAATTAGTCTATTATAGATATAAAAATTTAAAATGTAATAATTTTAAGAACATTGCTGTGTAATAATTTTAAGAACATTGCTATGTAATAATTTTAAGAACATTGCTATGTAATAATTTTAAGAACATTGCTAATTATGTAAAACGTCACTAGTTTTTCGACATGTACTTCAAAAGAACTAGACAAATTAGCAAGATATGTGCTAAGAATAGAAGTTCTTATTCAAACTTTAATGCTCGGATACATTTTTTGAAGTATACATTTTCTGTTGTGTTTCAAAGGATTCTTTTTAAGGGCGTCTGTTGTACACTTTCAACGCATTTAAATAAATTTTGTCAGCTAAATAGATTAAATATAATTATATTGTTTCAGTTTTCCCTCGGATTGACAACATGCGTTAAAGTGTTCTATATACTCTCAGTTTATCCTCGAATGCAAACCGTTGTTTAACACAAACAGTACACCATTTTGTAATTCAAATTTTATTCTTTCTCTATCTGTATGACTGGATCTGCTGGGATACTATGGGCCAATATCTTATGATTACGAAAGGAATAATATAATTGAGAATGGAAACGAGGAATGTTTCAAAGAGACAACAACCCGACCAAAGAGCAGAAGACAGCCCAAGACCTTATTGTATATGTTATAATAGTCTATTGTCAAAGACTTAAAACATGTGTAAAGTATAAGGGATCTTGGTTAAATATCATTGGAGAAGTTGACTTGTACTGTCTTTCATAAATTTTGCTGAAAAAAAACTAAGTTTCCAAGTCTGGAAAAATGAGAAAAAAATCCACAAAGAGTTCCATTATGGCAAGTGTACAACTTCAACATATATGCAATCTTCCTGTGAAGTATCAAGGATCTGGGTTGAAAATTATAGGAGTTGATTACACAAATTAGGTACCCACTTTTCTCCCGCGCAATACCCGACATCACCATACGATAAGTCGGTTTTGGGCTTCGTCCAAAGCTGCCAAAAATTAAGTGTATTGGATTTTCTTACCTGCCATTGAGTACAATACCCCAGTCACCATAAAAGCTGTCACTTGTTTTGTAATCACGGCAAAGATCCCTACCCCAGCAGCTACCACAAGATCTATTATACTGACAATGAAGCATGATGCTGCTGAATTCTGCAACCCTGAAATATAAAGATTCTGTAATAACCATGGAATAATACAGACTGTTACCTCAGTTTAATTAATACATGCATGTATAGCAAGACAGTGCTGACGTTTATCATGTCGACGCACCCAATCTCGCGCATTTTAGAGTTTATGTCATTCCCTCAGTATTTGTTTGTTACCTTGATTTTGGTTCTTTCTAATCGACTGAAGAGATTTGAACATATTATATATTTCTAAATCGACCCTAAATTGTCAAGTTATCACTACTGTTTAAGATTCGTAAGTCTAATAGTTTGACATATTGTGAGTTACTCGTTTAATCCAGAAGACCAGTTACAATGTATTGATATTCAGATGTTCTTTGTTTTGTATAGTAAACTCTCAATGTGATATTTGCAGTTATCTGGTGTGAAGTATATATTTTATCATTCAATTACTTGTTCGTGACTTAGTCAATGCGATGAATACATTGTAATGATAATATTTCAGTTTAACTTAATAAATTTGGAAATTATACGTAATCTAAGCTTATTACTCAGAAGACAAAGTTGACCTTAGACAATGCTGAAATATTTTAGGCTTTAATGCTCTAAAATGCTCATTGTTGTAAGCTTCTGAAACTATTGAACTCAATTGTGCCTGAAGTTATTCCATAGACACATTGCAAGCGCCATTATATTATTATTATGGTTCATACATACTTGCTAATGCTTTTCCATCTGAAGTCAGTTCTGTGTCTGATTCTTCGTCATATTCCACTACAAAATTGTAGCAATTCTTTTTTGTTGCATTCCGTTTGGCTAATTCTGTCCTAGCAGCATCTGTAACAAAATCATTTGAATAAATATGAATGTTTGATAAACTGGAAACAAGTATTGATTTAGAAAATAGAATGCTTTACATTTGCTAAAAACAAATGAAAATAAAATAAGATAATAAAAACTTGAAAACACATGTAAACGTGTTCTTCATTAATGTCACAGATTGATTGAGTATTGCTTGCGTTACGTCCAGTTGCAAATATTTAATTTATATTCAGGACGATAACAAACCAACAATTAATACAAGGGATGAAAGTCGAAAGATTTGCACTGCGACTGGAAAATGATGACATGTAGGATATTGAGTGGGCATCATAAGTAGTTCGTGATGTTAACCTACACATGGGCATCATAAGTAGTTCGTGATGTTAACCTATACAGTGTGGTATTCAGAAAGAATGAGGACATGTAGGATATTGAGTGGGCATCATAAGTAGTTCGTGATGTTAACCTATACAGTGTGGTATTCAGAGAGAATTGAAGTATTTTTGGACAGAACAGCCAAGCACTGTCTTTACCTATACCTTCTAGATAATTACTATAGCGATAACACTAATTTAAAGACCTTCTCGATAGTATAAACCTCAATTGGCATGTTCACACATGTAGATCAATTAAAGAAGAGAACCGCTATGTAATTGACTGATGCAGATAACTTTTATATATTATGTAATTATAATTGCAGATGAATTTTATCGACTTACCAGGGGCGGATCCAGGATTTTTTTTAAGGGGGCGTAATTGCATAAAACTGATTATATACTGCCGCGCGAAGCGAGTCGAAAACCTTTTTGAACGATTTTATGCTAAAACTATATAAATCGTGAAAAACATGATATAATATTTGTTTTTGTCGATAAAAGGGGGCATACACCCTCTACGCCCACTGGATCCGCCACTGCTTATATCTAATTTATTCCATGTTTTGAAAAGTAGCAAATCAATGCATCATTTCGTCACGGTACTTAGAATATCAAGAAAGAATATTTTGAAAACTTATTCACTGCATGTTTTCTAGTTCTTCATCAGGTTTTAATTCCATATCAGTCTTTATGATGGAGATTTTATTGATTGTTGTCGCTTTGATTATTTATTCCATTTTCATTAGTTTGTGATGAACTTCCTTGTCAGATACCCCACGGAAGGTTTTCCCTATTCCGTATGCATTTCATTGCGTCACTCACAATGGAAATTATTTTATGCATAACACGATTCATGTACCAAATTGCAGCGGGATCATTAATGTTATGTTTATTTAAAAGAGCAATCATTAAGATGATTTATTATTCAAATATTTAATTTTTAGACATACGTGGATCCTGTAGTGGATTTACTCACGTAAATAATAATTTATTCATAAAAATGTCCTTGAGAATAGTTCAATAAAAGGCGCACATTCCTATGTGATATCTACATTTCTACAATCATTTAATTAACCTAGGGAAACATGCATGACAGTTGTTTTCCATTCGTTTGATGTGTTTGAGCTTTTGATTTTGCCATTTGTTAAGGGACTTTCCGTTTTGAATTTTCCTTGGAGTTCGGTATTTTTGTTATTTTGCTTTTTATACTCCTAAACTTTCTTTGTCGAATCGACAACTTGACTTCATATAAGTTTTAGAGAGAAGGAACTATCGAAATGTTAAAGAAATGATCTGATTATAATTTGAAATGAGTGATTTTAGGTTCAGCGCTTCTGATTTAAAGTTTGTATTTTCAATTATCAGGTGAATTATCTAACATCAATGTCAGAAGAACAATTTCATTACAATAAAGTTTGGAATAAGAAATGATTGATTGATTGGTGTTTAAAGCCCCTTTCAGTACTCTTGGAATAAGACACTTTGCAGTGTTAGTCAGTTACAATTAATGACAAATCTTAACATACCCAAGACAAGGTCTCAGTACAACTATAGTTTGACCCACCTCACGGGTGGCACATGTGGGACAGGAATTACTTACCTCTCAGGAATACATGAGTACACGCTGGTTTTTTGGTGGTATTCGTGTTGCTCAATCTTTAATTTTCTATTAAATATTTTGTGGAATTGCTGTTTGTCTTTTGGCAAGAGGTACAATGTTATGATCTGGACTTTAGTTTTTTGACATAGCGTTGTCAGTTTTAAAAGTCTTCTTTGTATCTTATCAGGTGAATTCCACACTTTTGTAACGATCTTGTAGGTTTTCATGAATGACGAAAGAATGGGGTGGATTTTTAATACAAGCTTTTATTTGTTTTAACCTAAACCTATGGTTCATGTATTTTAACAAAGAGATAATTGTCCCTTGTGATATATTTACTTAGGTGCTTGTATCCACAACAATTAACTTAGATTCATCAAGTGTCTCAGAATACTGACTGGTGTCATATGTTGAGCTAGCTGCGGAACCGTAACTCTTATGGTCCTTTTTATATATTTTTTTTGATTTTGCGGACCATAGATCTATGGTCCGCAAATAGTCAAAAAATAACATAAGGACATAAGAGCTACGGTTCCGCAGCTAATGTGGAGCAGGATCTACTTACCCTTCCGGAGAACATAATATCACCCCCGGTTTTTGGTGGGGTTCGTGTTGCTCAATCTTTAGTTTTCTATGTTGTGTTTTGTGTACTTTTGTTTGTCTTTTGATCTTTTTCTTTTTCTTTTTTTGCCATGTCGTTGTCAGTTTATTTTCGACTTATGAGTTTGAATGTCCTTTTGGTATATCTTTCGCCTCTCTTATATGTATGATAATATAATTTTACACAAATAAATGCCAATTACTATATATATCACAATGTAATTGGCATATTCAGTGTTAAGTGAAATTAAAACTAAATATAGAAAATGATATGATATGTCTGAAAATAAAAACTTTTTTTTTTATAATTTGCTAACTTTACAACTGTGGAAATGTTGACTGTTAACGTTAACAGTAATTACTTTAACCTGCATTTCCCTTAATCTTATTATAATGTTACATGTTTTATTAAAAATAACATTCTTTCGTGGCAAAGTCAAATATCAAAAATTCTCATCGAAAAAGATATTTGAACATCTTAATACACACAATATTTTTATTGTTTAATATATAATTATTTGCCACATTTAAGTTTTTGCAAAAGGTTATGTATATAATGTAAAAATGCGGCATGAATATACTATTAAAACAAACTTGCTATCTTATAAAGTAGAGATATATGATGTGATAGTTATGCATGAAATCATGTGTGTCAAAAAGACAAAAACCGAACAACAAAAAACAAAAAATCTATTTGTTATTTCATTTTTTTTATACTTTTCACATGCGGTATCAACTTTCTTGATGACTCAAGTAAAAAAAAATCAAAACTGGACTTAAAGCCATCAAAAAGCGCTGCTGTATCGAGACGCACCGGTTTAGGAAAATACTAACTGTTCTGACAAAATTATTGGTATTCATAAATCACAAAATAATCAACAAGAAAACGGGTTTAAGAAATACAGACTGAGCAACATTTATCTAACATTCTAAAAGCTGGATTATAAAAAGATGTTAACAAATCCTGAACCACTCTCACACTCATTGTGCTAATTAATGGTTAAGTCCTGCAAGAAGACACGAAGTGGGGAAAATATTGACAACCGGAACCAAAAGCAAATATTTTTGAAGGCAATCGTTATTCTAATCCATCAAACTTCAGAGATTACTTTCCTTATTTAAAGATGGGTATTTACAGTGCAGACAGCAACCCATAGAAACCAAAATTCAAATGACATCTGGGGTATCAATTCGAATATTGGAAAGACATAAATAATTCTATTCACATATATTCTTCATGTATATATAATAACTGCCATCTAGCTAGGTTAAGGATATTTAAAGGATTGAACATTAAGACAACTTTCATTATTTTGGTTTAAAAGAAGAATCGAAAGCAATGAATGTAATGAAAAGGATATTGCTAGCTTATAGTGGTAAACCATTATGTGGCAGGTGTTCTCAATTTGTTCTGTTTATAAAAATCAATATCATAGCGATTCTTGTATTAAATCATGTTATTTAGAAACTCTACTTCCTAGCAATGGTTACTCGAGTTAAAGTCAATATAATTGTTAATTGTTAATGTACTATCTGTTGGATTCAAATTTTCTACGCGTTTTACGTACAAACTAGATTAAATTCCACGCTGCATTTCTTAATAATAATAATTTATTAGGGGACGATCATTTTATATTCTGGGGAGGGGGACAGGAAGATGTTTGGCGGATTGACTATTCATTTTCATCTGTTGTTACGCAGGCATTTTTTTTCCCGCGGCTTTGTACACAATTGTATCCTCCATTTTGTGTTCCACTATGTTTATTTTCGTCCTGTCTTATGCAAGGCCAGGATATTCATTTTCAAATTCCTCCCCTCCCCCCGAAAATCAAATGGTCGTCCCTTTATTATATATATTCAAACAAATAATATTACACAGTTATTTATTTATTGAGGTATTAATTCTTTAATTTGTCTCGATAAAACTTATCATTTCTCGATGCATATTAATAAACAATGTCATTATTACTACCATTAAAATATATGCATAATTTACCTATAATATTTAAACATGAGTTGCAAGTCTCACGGGAAAAGCTGACCTTAAAGTTTTTTGGTATTATTTTAATTACTTTTCACAAAGGATTTACGTTTTTGACTTCAAAGTATTTGGTTGCTAAGGTAACTTATGTTGGCTTTTCCAAAAACAGGAGCTTGGTATAATTGAATTATAAGTTCATATAAACATTGCTAATAATTACTAAATAAACTCATCGTAGATACCAGGCTTAAAGTGTTGTACTCTAGACGCGCGATCGTCTACACAAGACTCATCAGCGACGCTCGAACCAACTTGGTAAGGCTGTAGGAAGATTGTCTATATACTATTACTCCATCCGCTTAATTAACCCTTTAACTGAGTTTTTTGAATGGTTTCAATTACAAGTTTTGACTTTATTTTCAATTTATATATTATAACGATTTATTGACACTTAGGTTACAAATTTTCATATAATTGAAAGCTGACCATAAAACTGTTTTGGCTGTTCTTTATAGGCACTTTAACTTTGGATACTTTGAATTTATGTATTGGCTACCACAACGTCTATTTTCGAGCAAGATGATGGAGATTTCCCAGAAAAAAAATAGTAAATACAGAGAACGTTACATTCAACAGTTGCATTACTCTTTAATTTATATATTTGTCTTCACATCTCATATCATTTCACGAATGTTAATTATTTAGTTACGTATACTGATTGATGAATATGTTTGTTTAAAGTCAAACAGTTGAAAATTTAGACGAAACCCATTAATACGCATATATATCCTGTTTAACAATCTCCTTATTGGTTGTTACTACCTTCTATCTATTTCCCCCGTCTAGTGTTTGTAATTAATTTTATCAGTTTTATTAAACATAAAGACAAAGGATCAATGAAAAAAAAGTTTAGAATTAATCGTCGGAGATCATTTTGTGATTTCCATGCTTGCATGTTGGTTTACAGTGTCACTTGCAGGGTTGCTGTCTCATTACTGTTTACTTCACTTTGCCTTTTATTCAGATTTAAACTATTTCCATGTAGATAAAAGAATCATTTGATTCGATTTATTTCCTATAGCTAGTCATACTGAGGTTTAATGAATCAGCGGTGCCCTCCAGTAATTCATGACAGAATTTTATCAGGAAGAAAAGCCACATCCATAGTGTGTCGCATAAAACTTTATTCGGACGGTCGATCATGATCTTCGTTCGAAACCAACCACTCATAACTTTATCGTTTCTTTATATTTGAAAGTTAAAGAAACCAGAGAAAAGACCAGCATTCAAATTCTTCAATGAGCAGAAATCTACCCCACACCTAACGATAAAATTTAGATATCTTCTATAGACAAGGACGAATACTGAAATCACTGCAGAATACCAACAAATAAAAGACAAGAACGAAATATATGCACGAATACACAGACTGTCCCTTCATAACGAAAGTCCCTTTCAAAAGAAACAAATAATATGCACAAAAACATAGATGATTTTTGCAATAATTCAATTTGCTGAGAAAAATCACTAAAACAGTTCCTCATTTAAACGGTTCCGGGGTAGAAGTGCCCCTATTTGAGCTAACTTTTCCATGTTGCCTGAGAGAAGTATAGCAAAACAAAAAGACCAATAACTGTGTGGTTGCTTAACGGTCAATGGAAAATATTTCAAACATCTCTAGGCTAGAAAAAAGTAACAACTTTAATATAACCTAAGTTAATTTGACAATACTTCTTGAAAACGCTTCAAAACTCTTAATGAAATAAACACAAACAAAAGTAAATAAATCCCAAAATTTGCAAATCTACAAAAATTCTTTAACTTGGTAAATTGTCACGTTTATGGTCTACATACCTGATAAATCATCGCATTGTTTCCATACATCGTTGTGCTCATTGTAAATATAATATGTTGTCCATTCACTTCCAGACTGAACTCGAAATTCTGAAAACCATTTCGGATTAGTAGAAAGAACTACTTGAATATTTGAAGTTGCGTTCACATATTTCGACAGTACAGCAGAGTCGTAACCTAATTCTTCCCATCTGTTAATTCCAAATACCAGCAACAACAGGAATGAAGCAAGGCCACCAGTTGAAACGGCACTGCAGATGAGAATTAATAAAGGAGATGTCATACTTCATAACTTCGCCATATATAAAATGTAACAAGTGAAAACTACATGTGATCAGCAGGTGGTTAATAGAAAAGCAGTTGATCTTAATAATTCAAACTCAATCTGAGCGTCCTCTTCTCTTGAGAAAATAAATTAATTTAAAATTCGATAACGTCATATTAAATCGTCTTTGATGATGTTATTTCAAGTTGGTTTCCCACGAAGCATGCGCATTGATCGGTTTCTATGACAGTCAACGCAATATAGTATTGCGATCGATCAATATTTCCTCTAAAGGTTAGAATCGACCTATTCATAGCACAGCAATGTGAGAAACATTTCTTTAAATCGATAGACAATAAACATTGTTATTCTTACATATTGGAACCGTTAGAATTGATTGGACAAACTACATAAACTGATTGTAAATGTTAAAATAGTGTGCATTATTAACTGGTCTGTTAGTTTCGGAGAAAGGCGTACTGTCAATGTTAGGAAATCATTAAAGCTAATAATGATGAAGCTGTTTATTACAAAAATGAATCAGCAGCAACGTAAATATTGGAAAAAGTAAACCTTTCATCAAATCGAAAAAAAAAAAAAAAAAAAAACGGTATCGAAGACGGTAAATAATCAGCAAAAAACCGGAAGTTATTGCACCAATCAGGGTATACAATACCAGTTCACGTCAGTAAAATGAGTGGCCTTTGGTAATAAAATCAAATATTCCGATTTTATTTAAATATAAAGTCTAAATTATCATTAATTTAACAAAGTACATTTACCTATTCTTTGATTTCAAAAAGACATGTTAATATGATCGTTTAATGTATCTGCAATTATTGAATGGTACAAGTGTACCAAGTTATGTTCGATTACTAAATAGATGCATACATATTTAAGGTCATAGAAGCCATGAAAATGGAAAGAAAACATGCATTGTCCAATTTTTAAACTTCTATAGACTGTATTCGTCTAAAGACTCGAGAAACATAAAATTTGCCAACTATAGATCTTTAATATGATATAAGGAGAAGTTGGTGTTGATTACCAACGAGACAGCTATCCATCAAAATCCAAATGATAAGGGCGTTATCGTATGACATTCAACAATGACCAAACCCATACCACATAGTATGCTAAAGAAGACATCGGGATAACAAAATGTGTAAAAATCTAAAAGAGAAAACTAACGGCATGATTTAAACTAATGACATTAAAAGATAACAATTATGGCAGACGACCCCAAATGACTACATGTTTATGATTTGGGACAGGCACACACAAAGTTTTGAGAGGTAAACATACGCTTAAGTCGTTTCCTCGGTCCTGAATTGCAAGTGCATTCGAATTATTAATCCGCCCTGTGTAGTATGGAACCCTATTTCGGCCGGCGCCTTCAACATGGGTTGACGTATCGGCTAGGAAAAATCAGTCATCATATTTCTTATTACCCATGCAGTCAATCTGGGAATATAATATTTACTGTAATTGTTTTTCATAAATACAGCTCTACCAGAAATTTATATCACTCATCACTTTCTTTACAATTGAATGATCACCTAAATTTGCATTGTATTTATATGTACTGTTACAACCACTCTAAAACTATTTATAATTACATTTATCGCTATTTCACGAAATTTTCCTTTGATCTTAATGACTGATAATTTCCTTTCTCAGCACAGTAGAGTGATATCAAAAATTATCGCTAGAAACTAAGGGCGCACGTGTTCAATGAAATTAACAACGTCGTCATAGGTAAAATAGCGATAAACAGATTATCATTGGTCATCTCAACTCGATTGCTTTTCTCACTTTCGCCGTACCGGCTCAAGCGAGAAAATTAATCTCGTTGAGATGACCAACGATAATCTATTAAGTATCTACTTATAGTGTTGAAAACCTAGGAGAGTGAATTTAAGAGATTTCATTTACACATCTATTTCTAATATTGGATTTTCAATGTATCAAAGATAGCAAATATATATATTAATAAAAACAAGAATTCAACAGAACAAAGGACTGGTGTTTCTTTAAACACCTTAACAGTTTTTAATAATAAAGAAAAAAGACATTTTTTTACAGTGTACAACGTAACTACTTCATTTTCAAAGTTTTTGGAAGTTCAAGTAGATATTCCATCGGATTAAATAATTTGTCTTTCATTTTAACTTGTTCAAACTATCGTGGTTAAGGTTTTCATCATCAGAGCGTGTAATATCTTCAAAGTATTTTTTTTTAGATATTTGAATGATTTGACATGGTAACCTGTGCATGAACTCTAATGATAGTAAATCATCCTGTATATCTATTATTTGATTTTACTACATATAGACATGTATGTATATACAGTATATATTTGTACACTTGTACATTTCAACCAAGATATACATTACAAAATGTAGCAGTGACCATATATCTTCGGCAGTGTGAAATGATGGATAATTTGACTGCTGTTGGGAAACAATGTGAATTAAAGAGGGCCCAGGAATGTAGTTCTTACAAAATGTCACCGACTGATCCATCCAAGGAATTGTCAAAAAATGAAAAACACGCGCAAAAACAATGCTCAGAACAAATTTGCACAGAATCAATGTAAAAAAAATATATATGGATAATTTTGGACATGCTTCAAACTATAATCGAAATAAATCGAAATGATTTGTTTAGACATAAAAATACTAGACGTAATAAATTAACAACAACAACAACAACAACATTATAATTAAAACCTTTATCATTAAGTCTACATGTATTTAATAAGCAAATAAAATACTAGCCTTTTTGTCTTTTTTTCAGGGGTTTATTTGTTAAGTTTGTTTGTTTTCTTATTTGTACTTATTTGTTTGCTTGCTTGTTTGGGTTTATTTGGTTGTTTATTTGTGTTGAACGCCTGAATATTTGTTTTGATCAAGTTCGTTTGTTGTTGCTGTTATTTTATTTTTGGAGAGGATTATCTGTGAGAAAATATGTGAACTAATGAACGTTTATAACTTTTAACTAATTCATTTTGTTTTCAAAATTATGAATAAAAATGAAATACATGTGGGCATAAGATGTTTAACACAAAGTCTGCTTGCCCCGGTGTTGCAAGGTATATATTTCTAAATCTCTGTTTAATAGCTATCTTAATCGCTCATTCCCAGTTTGCAAGATAACTATTCATTATGGATAGTTTATACTTATCTTGAATTCGTGTGAAATATTTGCCGCATGACGTTTAGTTAACAACACTTTTAAATCAATCAATCTTAACGTTACGGTAGCGATTGCAGGTACCACCCGTATACACCCCCATACACTGCTACTTAAACACTATTAATGTGTAAATGTACAAGATATCCGCTCTTTAAAGAGAAAGAAACAGACAGGTAAAATACGTGTATAATAATAACAATGGCAGATACCACGGTTGCATGTTTGCATTAAGTAAAAATTTACTTTAATAGCATTGATTGCTTTCATTTGTTGAGGGTTGACATTAATTTACTGATGTAATTTAGTTACTGGTCCCATGTTGTACGATTTTGACTAGTTTAACTTTGTACAGTAACATGATATTAAGTGGTTAATTTTAGTTGTGTGTTCTATTTATATCCGATAGTAAACACAGAATAGCTCCAATTCGATCAACTTGTCCCTGACAGTCTCAAGAGCTGTGAACAATATATTTACACAAGTCTATTTATGGCCGAATGAAGTATCATTTCGATCTAAGACGTCAGCAGCAGAGAAACCCATCCTTATTTATCATGTTTATTTTCAATCTGTAGATAATGCATTTTCGATAGAAGACAATAAAAAAGAAATGGGGTATACGTGTATTAACAATCATATTTTAACGAATTGAGCTAAGTTATAGATATAATCTTAAGGACAAAATTTATATTGATAATGTTTAAAACAGCATTAGTTAACAATATCTGCACACCTTTCACCCAAATTTGTAACATTATTCAACATCATCTTATGCAGCTTTAAAGGGTTCCTTTCCCGACAACCAGTCATTGAATATTTGTATGAAGTGATCTTAAAGTATAACTTACTTTATAAATAGTTTAGATGGAGGGTAACCATGAGTCTTCTTACATGTAGATCGTCGATGACATTTTCATATATGATGTTTAAGATATCGACACTCTTTAAATTTTGCCAAAACTATCAGTTGTGCTGCTATGTAACGATACAATTTTTTCTTTTTGTTTCCCTGGGATTTTCGATTTTCTTTTATTTTGTGACAATTTAAAAAAAAATGTTTTGACTTTAAAAACTCCAAAATACTGTATATTTCCATCAGGGGAAAAACCGTTAAACAGCAAAGGAAGTTGTTGATGAATTGATACAATCTTTAATCGATGAATAATTAATATTGATCACGTTGTATTTTTTAAACCGTGTTAGTCTCATAGTTCTAACTACACTTGATTACGTCCAGTAGCAAACATTTCATAAGTACAATGTACATTGATGTCCAAGGTGAATTTGTTACTTACATGTAAAAATGTAAGGTTTGGTATGTATTAGTCGACCATATCATTACAACTTCAAATACCATTTACTGAGATGGTTATTTGTTCTTAAAATGAAGCTTAATTTACAACCAAAGAGTTTTCCGAATGGGTAATTGTCTTTATGTTTGGGTCATGAATTCAGAATATGATTGTGATATTAGCCTTTTTGTGCTGATGCGGCGTAAAGCAATCACCAATAAATTAAGCAATGATTGTGATACAGTTAATCATTACTATTTTTCGCTTAACGTCCAGCGACAAATATTTTATGTGTATTCATGAAAAGTGAGAGGACATGGTGGATTACTTGGAAATTTGACTGCAACTGAAAGATGAAAGTATCTTTGGTATTGTATTGCATTAGGTAGTCAATAAATTAACCTTTCGAAAATAGACAGCATTCTTGAACATGCTGAAAACATGGCAACGCACACGTATGACATTAACTATAACGTCCTTATTCTTATCGATTAAGGATGCCTAAATACATCCCACGAACTGAAAAGGGAATCCCCTCTAGCCACAGGTAAAAATGTCTCAGAAAAAAATACCTATATACCTTAATGTTATATAAGGGTAAATAGGGTGTTTTCTAGAAACAAGTGCCTGTGCCCAGACTCGAGTTTTCCGAATTGTTAATTATAGTCTGTATGTTCCTTCACTAGAAAAACTAAAAAAGTGTTGTAAACAGCAAATTGAACAACAGACACGAATGTATGGCAAATTTTTACCGTATTATACTTTCAGAATGGAAGATACTGACAATTGAGCAACAACAAATTTGTCGGAAAAAAATTAAACTAAATCATTAACTGCCTGAAGTATATGCAAAAATTTTCCTCTGTAATGCTGCGCTTTTTCATAAAATGAATAATGCTACAATATTGATATTGATAATGACTTCAATTTATTTCAGATGAAACGGGCTATCTTCACGACTACTTTCCGTCATGTTTTATACAAACAAAAGTTGCCACATATTCGACAGACAGATAGGGACAAACTGTTATGTATATCAAGACTCTGTGTTTATGCCTCAGTTCGAGGTATCGCTTACATGCCACACATTCCCGCGGATTTCAAGGATTATCAACTACATAGGAAGTTGATGTCAAACGAAAGATTACCGGAATATTTCAACTTCTGTAGTGATATCATTGACCAGTGGGCAGTTAGCAAAATTGTAAGTGACAGCATTTATGAAATATGGCAATAGTCGTGGGAATATGTGTTACAGCAATAATACATGATGAAAACTTATTCATAATTTAGAATAACATATATTTTCACAAAATAGGGCCTAGGTATATAAACTATAGGCACTTTGACAATTGAACTAAAAATAAAGAAGTGGGCAAAAGAAAAAAACATCCTACAAGAAAATAGAAAAAAATATATGAATTTTTATTATTATCATAAGGTACAATAAGTGGGAGGATTTGAGGCTATTTCGGGAATGATATTCTACCAAAATTCCTCATTTACAGTACTTTGATCATGCGCTTCTATTCCATTTTCACAGAGGAATCCAAACCATCCAGCGTTTTGGTGGATTGATGATAGCGGTAAAGAACTGCGATGGACATTTTCGGAATTAAGTCAGCTTTCTAAAAGGTACCATTATGTTTGTTTTTTTATTAGTGTAACTATATGTATAGTTTTGTTATAATTGCATTGTTACAAAACAAAAATTTACATTTACGCCGCATTTTTGCGACTGTCCCAAGTCAGGAACCTCTGGCCTTTGTATGTCTTGTTATTTTTTTTTAATTTTTTTTCATTTAAATGTTTAGGAGTTTAGTGTGACGTCCATTTTCGCTGAACAAGTATACTTTTTTGTTAAGGGGCCAGCTGAAGCCCGTCTCCGGGTGCGGGATTTTCTCGCTGTGTTGAAGACCCATTAGTGGCCTTGGGCTATTTTCTGCTCTTTGGTCGGGTGTTTGCGTTTGTGTTTTATACATGATTATAATGTATGACGTGTAATTGATTCATTTTAAAATGTTCTGTTTTTTCCATTTAGATCCCTATTCATTTGATATCGAATTGAACAGCATTCATTTACAAATTCAATTTTTAGTATCATTTTATTACTCAATTTAATTTTTCAGAGCAGCTAACATACTTCAGAATCATTGTAAGTTGAAAGTGGAAGACAGAATGATTGTCATTCTACCTAAAATTCCAGAGTGGTGGATTATAAATTTAGCAGCAATAAGAGCAGGTTTGTAATTTCCAGACAATTTAGAGACAAATCAGCTACTTCTGTGACATCATCAATGTTAGACATCCCAGGTTTACTAACATCAATGAATTTGTCGTATTTCATTAAAACTAATTTAATTCGTGTATTGAAATAATGATTATAGAATTTTTAGATATTCTTATTCAAAGTTAAAACATTACTACATAAATTTTGAAAAATGAATAAATTTTATGAACTGAAGATTTACAGAAAAGACCACTATCATACATTGTATCAGCACAAGAACGCTGACTGCTGGGTTGGTGCGAACCGTCCATAGGCTGAGGCATTGATGGCGTGATTGTAAAAACACATGAAAGATACCAAGCTAAACAAATATACGCGAATACATAAGACTCTATATCAAGAGTTAATGCTCGACTCAAGAGAAATCTTTGTATTACGCTTGGCGTAGATCGACTCAAATGTACTAAGAAAATATACTGACATATTAAGTAAAAATGTAAGGACAAACGCGCCATCATTTCCCTTCCTAAACTTTGTCTCAAATTCGAAGCAACAATAATCAAAGCACATTTATGACTTCATTTTTAAATTGAAAAAAAGCCATAACAACATTTAATTTGCTAATATTTCAAAGTAACTTACATGTTTAAAAGAGTCTTGAAGTTCATCGCAGTATGTTGGATTGATAATACTTCATCATCGTCATTGATTCTTCAAATTATTCGAATTCTTTTTTTAATAATTGATGCGTTATTTCATGTGGAAATAACAAATAATATGTTAGATCCATCCTTTTGTCAGAAATTAAGTAAGCGGAACAAAATAACATATCATAATCTTAAAACATTGACAATGTATTTTATTGTACAGAAGAGTGGTTGCTATGGTTACGTTTTGTATACAAATTAAAAGAAAAACGATATAAACTATGTATAATACCCAAATCAGCAATAAATGAAGTATAATTTACCCATTCTATTCGCATTTTTGGAGTATTCTTCTTCGTGATGTGATAGAGATAACAAAATATTTAATTATACATTTGGAGCTATATGACCAAAAATATAAAGAATAGCCAAGACCATGTAAGGTCCACTTTACCCGAGGAATTTACCATTTTATGATTTAAAACTAACGAAATTTGAGTGATATTCAGAATTTAGCAAAATGTGCGTAATAAACTATATGCTAATGGTAAATTCTGAAACATTGTTTAAAGGCGGAGAGTTCTCTCGAGAACTTGCATGTAATTACCAATGGTATCAAACCAAAAATAAAACGTATAGTTATAAAGACCCATAATAATCATAATTTAAGAAGCTTTTCCCCATCTTCCTTGCAGCGTTTGCTATAATTGAATTCGTGCGGTTGATGCATTTAAGTTAAAGATAAGATGGCTATAAGCTATTTTAATGTATACATGGAAACCTTTGCTTCAATTATTATAATTAAGCAATTATTTAAATACAAAGTTTCATAGATTCACTTCTTACACGTTATGTCAATGCCGCGGATGTGGATAGAAGGGTGGTGGCGATGACTTGAGGGAGGGGGTCCGAATAACACTCCACCTTAAAGGGTATCGTATTATAAAAAACCATCATGAAACAGAATAGTGTACTAATTTTCGTTTTTTGTTTCTTGCTTCATTTTGTTGTTGGTACTTTGTTTATTTTGAAGGTCGAAGATACACGAAACTAATACAGAATAAAAATGAATTAATCGGCATTTTTGTATTCTTTTAAACGAGGAACATGTTTTTCAAACTACTAACAATATGTGTGGGCTAGATAATTGAAATGAATAAAAAATGACTTTTCAATCTTATTTATTGTAGGAATTGTATTAAGCCCAGGAACAATCCTTCTAAGATCTAATGACATTAAACATAGAATTAAATCAGCAGGTGCCAAATTAATTGTAGCAGATACTTCAAGCGCAGACAATGTGGACCAGGTTTATACAATTAATTTACATTTTAACACTGGTATTGAGAACTGTTTAGGACGTTACCATGACTGCGACATTTCAAGATTAATTAAATTTCGTTTCATCTGTGTTTAATCCGTATGTATACAGACAAGGAATCTGATGTTCAGTAGTTGTCGTTTGTTGAAGTGGTTCATAAGTGTTTCTCGTTTCTCGTTTTATTTTTATAGATTAGACCGTTGGTTTTCCCGTTTGAATGGTTTTTCACTAGTATTTTTGGGGGCCCTTTATAGCATGCTGTTCGGTGTGAGCCAAGGCTCCGTGTTGAAAACCGTACTTTGACCTATAATGGTTTACCTTGATAAATTTTGACTTGGATTGAGAGTTGTCTCATCGGCACTCATACCACATCTTCTTATATCTAAGTACACCTAGTTTATACGGGTTTCTCCGACACTTAGACAAAAAAAAAATTCATGTACATCCAGCATGTTTCAAACTATGTAAGGTTTTGTTTATTCAAAAATTAGAATTTGTTTTACATGTATTCATAAAACAGGAAGTTCAGATAACGTCTCATAATGATAAAGTGGTACCAAACAACACTATCTAGTGATTTTTATTGCCGAACAAATCAAAGAAAAAATAAACATGTTCTTATGTAAATGGTGTGCTTTTTGTAAGCAAATAGGAAATTTACGTGTGTCAGTTTATATTGGTTTTCTTAATTTTTTTGTTTTTAATTTATGAATAACAAACTCCGAAACAGTGGAAACGGCCTCCTTGCTACGCTACGTTAACTTTTAGCAAAGCAAAGTCACCGCTGTTTCGGAGTTTGAATTTATGGCAGATCTTTATCTCAGTTAGTTATATAAATTCACAAATTTCTAGATTCGATGTTATTTAGATCTTGATATTTTATGGACGTTTATGTATTGCTGACGACCCCAAATGTATGCTGACCTCTAGACGTCTTTGCTTATTTGTGTGATTGGGTTGCTGTCTCATTGACGTATACCCAATATCTCGTGCTATAAATGCATGTATGACATGCAGTTTATGTGTGAAAAACCACACTGCGAAATGTGTGAAAGATTTAATATGCCTTGTTCGTAGGTACCGAAATCTAATAGTTCAAGTAGATCATTGTTCTCAAAATAAAAAAGTAGACAAATAAGTACAGGCTGGGTTGCTGTCTTATTGACCTATATACGCTTTCTACAGCTACATTGCATGTGTTTTCATATCAAACTTAGCAAAACTATTGTATTATAGGCAACCAAAGACTTGGAAGATTGTCCACAGAAAATATTTGTCGGTGACAAGTCCGACACAAGGTAAATGTACCTATTGTTTTGGTGAAATGATATTCATGATCCCTATGACGATGAGAGATGAAATATTCATAATACAACAGATTCAGAAATTTAACATTCTTGGATCTCCTAAATTAAGTTCATTCTTAATTATTAAATTATGCTCCTTTAACTGTTGATATATACAGCGAAGCGTTAATGAAATTCTGAAAAGAGATAGTTTGAAATCAATGTTTTTGTTTAACCTTGCTTATGAATAATGGTTAGCATATCTTTATTTCAGGCCAGGATGGGCACATTTTGGGAGTTTAATGGATGAAGCTCCAGCCAATTTTAAGGTATTCCCGAAGGTTTTTTTTATGTAAACGATATGTTTTTGTTTTTTGTTTTTTTGTTTGTTTTGTTTTGTTTTTATTCATAGAAGCTTCATATTCAGTAAACATATATCGTTATTGTTTATAAACCTAATTTTACGAAAGGTGGAATTATTAGTTTTACGGCCTTGTAGGTAATGGAAATTAATGATGCATACTGACTACCAGATATCTAGTCATTAGAAATTTAAGAAAATCAATACGAAGACAGATCGTACCTTATTAGTTTTATCAATGAGGTTATATTATATATTAGATATAACCTCCTTGGTTTAATGTTGTGAATATGTGGTTTTTTGTTGTGTTTTCTGCTTGTTTGTTTATGTTTGTGTTTTTTGTGTATGTGGTTCATAGGAAAAATTGCAACATATGTTTTCATATGTTTAACATATGTTTTTCATATGTTTGAAAACATATGTAAACATATGTTTAGGCCCGACATGAAAACATATGTTTTCAAACATATGAAAAACATATGGAAAACATATGAAAAACATATGTTTTTAAAATCATATGAAAAACATATGTTTTTCATACATGTAAACATATGAAAAACATATGTTTTTCATATGTTTTTTACAAACATATGTTTTTCATATGTTTTCATACCTGGCATAAACATATGTTTTCATATGTTTGTCCTAAACATATGTTTTCATATGTTTGACCCAAACATATGTTTTCATATGATTTTATCTTGGTCCTAAATATATATTTTTTAAATATGTTTTTAATTGTTCAAATGCATTTATTTTCTCATAGATTCTAAACACGGTTTGTATATATATATTTTTTTTTTTTGCAATAGGTTTTTAAGGGTAACGTTTTTATGATTTTTAATATGTTTTTCTTTAATTTGTTATCTTTTTTTTCTGTCAGGAACTCATTTTGAGTGTAAATACTTCATTGTGATGAGTTGTTGCTTTAAAAAGTAAAAAACCCAAAATACCAAATTCCACAGAAAATACATGGCAAAATCAAAAGCTCAAACAAATAAAACACAATAAGTGCTCCATAATTTTTATATCAAGTAGAATTTTTTTTTTATTAAGTTGTTGTCTCTTCTTTTTTCATAGTTTTGTCTCCTTGACATACATTGTACCACATTTCTATTGTCTATATTCTATTTTCATTTGTTTGTCTCTTCGACATACACCATTTCTAGTATTGTCTATATTCTATTTTCATATGAATTTGTGTGTCTCTTTGACATACCCCATTTCTATTGTCTATATTCTATTTTCATATGTTTGTCTCTTTGATATACCCTATTTCTTTTGTCTATATTCTATTTTCATGTTTGTCTCTTTGACATACCCCAATTTTATTGTCTATATTCTATTTTCATATGTGTGTCTCTTTGACATACCCCATTTCTATTGTCTATATTCTATTTTCATATTTTTGTCTCTTTGACATACTCCATTTCTTTTGTCTATATTCTATTTTCATATTTTTGTCTCTTTGACATACTCCATTTCTATTGTCTATATTCTATTTTCATATTTTTGTCTCTTTGACATACTCCATTTCTATTGTCTATATTCTATTTTACTATGATGTATGTGATATTTCTATTGCTATATCACCATACACAGATATTTAATTGTCTTCACTGCTGGCTATTACTGGTGCATGTGTATGCAGCTGCTTTTTGTAAATATCCTGTATGATTAAGAAAGACAACTAGATTGACTTTGAGCTCAATATTGTATTAATTAAAAATTAATGTTCTTTGGTTCTGTTTCTTTACTTTTCAGTTCCTGCAAGTAGAAATAAAAGAACAGATTTTCAATGTCCACCTATTCGCACATTTTTAGCTCACCTGACCCGAAGGGCCAAGTGAGCTATTCTCATCACTTGGCGTCTGTTGTCGTCCGTCGTCATTGTTAACTTTTTACATTTTTAACTTCTTCTAGAGAACCACTGAATGGAATGGAACCAAATATGGCATGAATGTTCCTCATGAGGTGCTGACCAAGTGTTGTTACTTTGTAGCCGATCCATCATCCAAGATGGCCGCCAGCGGGGGGACTTAGTTTAACATAGGACCCTATTGGAAATACATACAAATGTCTTCTTTTAGAGAACCACTGAATGTAATGAAACCAAACATAGCATGAATGTTCCTTATGAGGTGCTGACCAAGTGTTGTTACTTTGTAGCCGATCCATCATCCAAGATGGCCACCAGCTGGGGGCTTAGTTTAACAAAGGACCCTACGGGAAATACTTACAAATGTCTTCTTTTAGAGAACCACTGAATGGAATGAAAGCAAACATAGCAATATTACACCAAATTTGGCCTCAAACATTATTATAAGTATCTGTTATGATTTTTATCTTTTTTTATATGATTTCAAAAACCCAAGTAGAGTCAGGTGAGCGACACAGGCTCTTGAGAGCCTCTAGTTTATCTATCAAAGAGCAATATTAACATGATTAAAAAAAAAAAACATGTTTTTTTGTTCTCAAAAATATTTATAAATAAAAAATGTGCTTGGGGAAAAAAAAAAGTTGTTTTTCTTGTATACTAAATATTTCAAACTGACCTTCAAGGGCATTACTATAATAGTATACTATAAGTTTAATAAAAAAAAATGAGAGCAATTACGAGGCCATTTTCCATAAATTTAATATTTCCAAGAGGCATAACTCTTTTGAAAAAATTCAATCGGCCATCATTACAACTGCCAGTTAAACATCTACACCTTACAATAATTCCATACACCAAATAAAGTAAGTATAACTTATTGCTTATAATACCTGAGATATTGACTTGACCACAAAAACTTTCTGACAGAGTAGACAGACACTAGCTATAGGACCTTGCAAGGTACCCACATACTAAGTAAATAGAAATATCCTATTACCATGATTACTATAAATAATATTAATAAGAGAGAAATTAACATTACAAAAAAACTTTAACCACAGACTGAACCTAAATTTTAGGACAGCGACGCCGCCCCTGGCAGAATCTAGGATCACTGTCTCGCTTTCGTGAAATAAATTTGCAAGCTTGACAAAAAGCAGAACATGTATTTCAGAAATAGAAACTCTATGCAATTATTAATACTTATATGCTGTTATGGTCCTACATATTCTTGTGTGTTCAATATTTTGGCATTACACAAAGTCATGCTTTCTTAGACTGTTTGAAATGACAAATGTTTTGTTGTTACATTAATTGATTAAATCTGTCGAAGGTGAATTGATTGATATTTTAGTTTGGGAAAACATAATTTTTGCATCTTTTATTATTTTGTTATTTCTTTTTAAGTGCTTGTTGATGAGTCCAGCCCTTTCTGGCTGTTTTTGACATTTGTTTCTTATGTTGGGTGCTGTCTGCCATACTGTGTGTAGTTTTATTTTTTTCATTGGTTCACATTTTTTCATCCTTATACAAGTTATAGCCATAATAGGTTACTTTATGGTATGGATTTTGATCATTGTTTATGGCTGTAAACACTACAAAGGTCAAAAAGTCTGAAAAGACCAGTTTTTGTCTGAATTTGCATGAATTTTTACTCGACATTCTTAATTTGTCTGATTAATTTTTAAAAATTCTTGACATAGTATGAATTTGTCTAATAAGGTTCTTGATTTTTCTTGACAAGTGTCTTGACAGTATGAACATTGTCTTAAAATTTCTCGACACTTCCTGTATCATCTGATAAGAGTCTGGATTAGTCTCGACCAATTCTTGACTGTCTTAAATTTGTCTTGATCTGTCTTGACATATTCTTGACATTCTTAATAATGTCCGAATATGTCTCGACATATTCTTGACATTCTAAATAATGTCTGAATATGTCTCGACACATTCTTGACAGTCTTAAATATGTCTTGACACTATCTCAACAGTATAAATTTCGCCTGAAATGTGAACAGACTTATTCTGCACTGTTTATGACATTCTATTGCTGTTATATACTCCTTTTTATTATGGCTAAACTAAACTTTGAAGAATCAAGGATTAATTTGGTATAGTAAGATACCCTTTTGGTGCAACTAAGTTGGAATACCCTGAATAATCCCCCATGTAGTTTAATTTTGATTTATTTTTATTAAACATTTAAGTAATTGTTTTCACTTGGAATATAAGTCGAAGGTATTGACAAACAGCATTTAGATTTTTGCCGTTCACAAAACTGCCAGTCAAATTTGCTTTATTAAAATAGGTGTCTTGTATCTCTTTTGGACCCCACAATTCATCTTTTGGGTTTGTGTGGCTAAAAAAAGAGGGGGGGGGGGGGGCTTTCGTATAGGTCAAAGAATTTGTTCCCATCTTGATTCAAAAACCTTATTCATTATTTAGAACAACCCAAAAACATTTATTATTCAAATTTGAGTGTTGAATTTTATAATTTTTTATCAAAAATAAATATTTGTGATAACTCCTTCCTGAAAAGAAAAAAATGTTTAGATCTATATTATGCATGTCTGTTTGAGAACCATTTCATAAGACCGATGATTTCTATAGAAATCATTGATGGGACCCATTATAAATACTTTTTTTTTATTATTCCTGGAGTAGATAATAATTTTCTTTTAATCTTTGGGAATTATTCAATTTGTTTTTATGTTAAAATAATTAACTTCATAATTTTTATGAAGAAAATCCATTTCAATTCAATTTTTTTTCATCAAAATGATGATTTTCATTTTCATCTATCAACAAACTTTTTAAATTGTAGTGGCATGGTCGGTCAACTGATAAGTTGGCTGATTACAGGTAAGGCAATAACTTCTATTTGACAGTTGTGTGTACTCTGGGGTGTGGAATACCTTAATTTTATGGGGAACATCCTGTCCATGTGTAATACTTAATATATTCCAACAGATGACATTACACAAATTTTTCTTCTGTTAAATGAATGATTTGTATATCATCATAATTTGCTATTTATATAAACCACATTTTGGTATAATAATTATTTACCATATCAACATTGAATATTA